TTCAACATGTGGAAGGAGCGGTTTTGCAGCAGCTTTCCAGCGCCATATTATATGCCTCATTCTGATAAATGGTTTGGAAATGCTATCGAAAATACGATTCACGTTTTTTGTGCGAAGAAAAAACGGTTTTCAAAACTGCTCTTAAACCGCTTATATTTTGCCAAAAAATTAAGTTGGGTCATGATATTGGTGTCCATAGCTTTCCAACAGTATATCGCAAGCCCCATTTGGGCAATGTTGGCGGAAGTTCAACCTAGTTCACAGGGAAGTTAAACATACTACTAGTGGGGCAGGTCAGGTTGTGATCAGAATATTATTCTGATCCCGTGATCAGAATAGTGTTTATGTATATATATATATTATGATCGGTTCTACTAGAAATTCTATTTATATATATATATGCATAACGTGTACAATACGTAGTATCATAAAATACCAGCAAACGGAAAAGAATTAAATGGAAAACACAAAATTAAATGAAAAATAAATCATAAACCCAAAACCCCCCAACCTTTTAATACCAGTTGGTGACACCAACCGGTACTAAAGGGCTCCCTGCCCCCGAAGCCGGCTCGTGCCACGTGGTTGCCCTTTAGCACCGGTTCGTGCTAAACCGGTACTAAAGGGGGGGCTTTAGTGCCTACACTTTAGCGCCGGTTACGAAACCGGCACTAAATGGCCTTACGAACCGGTGCTATTACCTGGTTCTGCACTAGTGGTACCGTAGGATCCGTAGCACCACTGAAGACCATGGCGGATGATCCCGAGTATAGGACATTATTACCATGACAAATCGCGGCTGCGACACCTCCCTGTCCCTGTCGGGCGACCTCTTCGTCAACATTTTTTTTCATAACTCCCTCTGGTGATGGTAGCCAGCGTTGGGAAGTATAAGCACTTGACTTGTCATGATGTTGAGCTGTGGTTTTGGCTTTAGTAGCGACATCAAATCATTGAGATAGGAGTTGACAGATGAATAGGTTTGATGCGGCCTTTCAAAGGTTGACTCATGAATAGCCTTCTGCCTTGCATACCATATAGCCCATAAGGTCATAGACATCCTAGTGAAGCCGTCATGACACGGAATTTCACGAAGTTTGAACATCCAGTTCTTTGATGCAACTTCTTTGTTATCTATCATCCTATCCGCTAGTTCTGCATCTGAGAGTGCTCATGTACATCTAGCCATGGTGCATGAAAAAAGTGCATGCCGCCACGAGTCTTCCCATCCACATAGTGGGAACTGGTTAGCCTATGCCATATTCCAATTGTGTAGCACATCTGTGGTCGGTAGGGAATGTCGGGCTAGTCTCCACAAAAACACTCGGTTCTTCGATGGAACGATGATATTCCATAGCGAAGTCCATGACTTCTCCTCTCTCGCATTATTGGAGGATCCACTCCTCCCTTCAATCCAATTCTCTCTATGGATTTTGGCCTTGATCATAAACTTGTATGCCTAGCTAACAGTGAATAGGCCTTTCTCTTGTCTGGATGCCATGCCCAAAAATTGGCAGTGTTTCGAGTGCACACTATGGTATTGAGTATCTCATCAGCATCAATGGGTAAGAAGACACTCCTGACCAAATTATTGTTCCACGAGGCTATGCTTGGTCATAATAACTCAGATACCTTCACAAATGGGTCAGCAACAAAGAGATACAATTTGTCGTCGAGAAGACTCTTTTGGGATCCAATTATCAGCCCAGATATCCGTAGACTAGTCATTCCCAATTCGGCGAATAATGCCCTGCTTCATTATGTCTCTACCTGGCTACGCAAAATGGTGCCTTGGATATCCATGGGTATCCGACTCTGTCACTTCTGTAAAACCAATTAGTCATATGGCAGGTGTGAGTATAATCGCCCGCCCATGAGTTTCCATCAACCGCCTTATTAATTTCATATTACATGTGGTCATCATAGATGTATCACATATGTAGTTGTAAATCCTATCTCTCTTTTCATAATATGTTGTGGTTGTCAAATGAATAAATTGCTAAGCTCATGTATATGTTGTTTTGGAGTTTTTTTTTCAAGAACACCTAGCAACATATCTTTTGTATTAAGGAGAGAAGAACACACATACAAAATTATGATATGTACATGAGGTGAAAACACAGAAGTACACACCCCACCGCCCACAACTTAAAGTGCTAACTCATGGTGTCTACTATTCCGTGAGTTCTAACCAACTTGCACATAGGAAACTTCTCCCTTGCTCACTTGATGACCCAAGATGGCATAACTTCCACCTTGTAGAAAATCCATTGTACCTCTCGAGCCACAACATGCAAAGAATATATCACATGAGGGCATTAAATTTCTTTTAGTTGCGATCCGAGACAGCAGAACTCACTGGCGGCCACCACTCCTTGATAGTCACAATAGCGCCAGGTGTGAACCTATCTATGCAATAGAAGCGGCAACAACATATCGTACCAAATCTCACGCGCGAAAGAGCATCTAAGAAGTAGATGACTAACGTTCTCATCTCAAAACTATGGATGCTGCAAGTTCCTCCGAACGAGTCTATCCGTTAGGACACAGATGAAGGGTAAGCAGGTGATCGATTACTTGGGACGCACGTCAAAGTACACACATGAAACAACAACAACATCGCAATGGAAGGCCCCTAATGTGAATTATGCTAAGTTGAATATAGATGGTGCTTTTTTCAAAGAGTATGGTAGAGCCGGGGCTGGGATGGTCCTACGTGATCATGATGGAGCAGTCATCTTCGCCGCAATGTGGGTACTCTTTAATTGTGGTGATCCTCTGGAACCGGAGATGGCGACCATGGACGAAGGGCTTAGACTTGCGCTTCACTGGTCCAACTTGCCGTTGGTTGTGGAGACGGACTGCGCTGAGTTGCTGAAGATGGTGCAATCTAAAGATGTTCAGCGCTCGAGCTATGCGAACCAGGTCAATGAGATCAGAAGGATTCTGGCTCATGAAAGGAACATTAGTCTAGCTAAAATCAGTAGACATGCAAATGTAGCGAGTTACACCCTTGCTTGTATGGGGCGCTTCCAACAGCGCACAACCTGTTGGCTTTGAAGCTCCCATGTGAAGATAGCTAGCATTGTCATCTCTGAATGTAACCACCATGGCTGATAAATGAAATGTTCATTTCCCACAAAAAAAGATGGGTTATTTCTGATGGGTACTTCATGGATGTGGATAACCATTGGTTATGTGCACAATATTACAAACATAAATTTCTATCCATGAACATCTTGATGAGGGTCAATGCGATATGAAGCCCGTATATAGTGTGGAAGCGTTGGACCCGTTCGAAACCCGATCCATCGCCATTCGAGCTATTTCCATGTCGCATTGGACATCGATCAAACAACTAACTCCCCGTAAAAGAAAAAAAGGGGGCAATGCTACACATGCAGAGCTTTACGAGGGTATTATTGGTTAACCATGAAACAATGCACGTGGCAATTTGTGGTCGTCTATCAGTCGGAAAAATGACCCCCACCCTAAAATTCATGAGAGAAGTTTAGTACTCCCTCTAAAAAGAAATATAAGAGCCGTAGTAAACCCGTAGGTTTAGCATTTTTGAAAAAATTCACCATTGACAATCCTCCTCGCACCTTTTCTTTTTTGAGAAAATCCTCACACTTCTTCTGACAGTCACGATCCTTGTCACACTGATCACTTGTACAATAAGGAAAATAAATTACTGGAGTCCGGTCTCAGCTCGCGCCACCGTGGGCCGGACGAGTCAACGCCACGAACCCACGCCTCCTTCTACCTTCCCGCCACTATAAAATGCCGGCAACTGCTCGGTGCTCTGCTCTCCACGCCCGCCCCCCGTGCGCACACAGCAGAACGCAGAACGCCTCCTCTCAGCTTCGTGCGCGCGCTCCGGCCGGCGTAGAGCAGAGAATGGAAGCGGCTCCAGTGGGGCCGGCCGCCGCCATGGACGTGGACAAGCTCACCTACGAGATCTTCTCCATCCTCGAGAGCAAGTTCCTGTTCGGCTACGACGACCCCAAGCTTCTCTTCGGCGGAGCCTCGCCGCATACACCGGCAGCGTCTGGGAAGGCGACGCCCCCACGGGCGCAGGCCGGTAAAGTGTGCATACTGTCGATCGACGGCGGTGGGCGCGCCGCCGACGGGCTGCTCGCCGGAGCGGCGCTGGTGAGGCTGGAGGCTTCCCTGAGGCGGCGCACCGGTGACCCCAAGGCGCGTCTGGCAGACTTCTTCGACGTGGCCGCGGGCTCTGGCGCCGGCGGCGTGCTGGCGGCCATGCTCGTGGCCCGCGGCAAGGACGACGCGCGGCCGCTCTACTCCGCGGAGGACGCGCTCGCGTTCCTCGTGCGCAGCCTCCGCCGCGGCTGGTCGCCCTCGTCCGGGAGCCTCCGCGCGCTGCTCCGGCGCCCGGCTGGCGGCGCCGCCTTCCGCAAGGTGTTCGGCGACCTGACACTGCGAGACACGGCGCGGCCGGTGCTCGTCCCGTGCTACGACCTCGCCACGGGGGCGCCGTTCCTTTTCTCCCGCGCCGACGCCGTCGAGAAGCCGGCCTACGACTTCCGCCTGCGAGACGTGTGCGCCGCGACCTGCGCCGGTTCGGACCGGTCCTCCTCGGCGGTGGAGGTGCGGTCGTGCGACGGGTCGACCCGCATCGTGGCCGTGGGCGGCGGCGTGGCGCTCGGCAACCCCACGGCAGCGGCCATCACGCACGTGCTCAACAACAAGCGCGAGTTCCCGCTCGCGTCCGGCGTGGAGGACCTGCTGGTGATCTCCATCGGCAGCGGCGAGGGCGAGCAGCGCCCCGCGGCCGGCAGCGGCGGCGCGTCGACGTCCGAGATCGTCAGGATCGCCGCCGAGGGCGTGTCCGACATGGTACGACGACAATATCAACGCACTAGAATTCTCTACCTTCGCTCGCAAGCGAGGTCCATTCTTGCACGCATCTTGTTCTGCGTGCTCACTGCAAACTCTTCCTCCGACTTGTTTTCCGCCAGGTGGATCAAGCGGTGGCCATGGCGTTCGGACATAACAGGACAAGCAACTACACCCGCATCCAGGCGATGGGGTCGCCGCGGGGCGGCCGATGCGCGGCGGCGGCGGCGAAGGGGTGCGTGGCGGCGGAGGAGATGCTGTCGCAGAAGAACGTGGAGTCGGTGCTGTTCCGTGGCAAGAAGCTGGCGGAGCAGACCAACGCGGAGAAGCTGGAGCGGTTCGCGCACGAGCTCGTCAAGGAGCACGACCGCCGGGTCGGCGCCGCCGCCCCCGCCGTCGTCAAGCAGCAGCCGGCGTCCGCGCCCGACAACGCCGCGCCGGCGTCGTACTCGAACCTGGTCAGCCAGATGTTCACCAGCATCTTGTAGGCCGTGTACCGCTGTACCTGTACGTGCCGATCGAATGAAACATGAAGGCCGCATGTTCACTGGTAGCGTACGTACTTGTTTTTTTTTCCTCTTCTGTTTGCTGTTGCCTGCTGCCTTGGCTGCAGCTGGGTTTTGTAAATGAGGATGAGGATGAACAAAGTGCACTACTACATGGTGCGTGCCGTGATCCGTAGGATACGCATGTCGCTCTGCTCCCCGCCACCAGATTTTATTAGGATGCTAATGCGCGGCTGGTGATCGATCGAGTTGACTAAATTTGTCATAAAATAAGAATATGTTCTCCTAATTAAAATCAAATTTGAACTAATTAAATAAAATCTAATATAAAATTGTAGTTAAAAACGAAGGACCATATATATTCAACAGTCGTTTGCAGGGAAAAAAACCCGATTCCGTCCCTGTCCATTTCATGCTCGCCACCCCTTAGAGCATCTACATCCGGACTTGACAAATCCGGCCTCTCAAACATTCGCGGACGTGCCACTGACAGCGCACGCCTTAAATTCGCAACTTTGCATCCACCTCTCTCATATTTCAACCCCTAAATCCATATAAAGTATGCAAAAGAAATCCTGCGTACTACACCTACGTGCTACCCTAGCTAATTTTCGTCATCGGAGATATCCACGACGATGGTGTTGGGCGCCGGCTGGACGGGCGTGTAGGAGGGCTCCGGCTCATCCTCCTCCTGCTCAACCTCATCCATGGTGAACATCTCCGCAACCTCCGCGGCCTCTTGCGCCTTCATCTCCTATCGGCGACGGCGTCTTGCCTCCGTAGCCGACTCCGACCGGAGGGAATCGAGGATGGCTTGCTGCTCCACCTGCAGATCCACGTGGCCAGCGTCCCCCCACATCCTCCTACTCCGGCTCACCCCCTCCTCCTCATTGTCGTCGTCGTCCTCCTCCTCCTCCACCTCCAACTCCTCCTCCAAACCCACTGCATTCGGAGGTAGCCCCGCGGCGATCCGGGCTTCACGCCTAGCCTGGATCTGCTCAAGGAGCTCGAGCCGGTGCTCCGGCGGTGTCAGAAAGGGCTTGCTCCTCACCCAGCAGCGTGGGGGGGGCATGGCTACTAGTCGTATGGGTGGAGTGAAAAGAGGCGGCGACGGCGGACAGAAGAAGGAAAATGTGGATGGGTGCTAGGGTTTCAGTGTCGCCGATCGACTTAAATAGCCGGGCAATGCACTACGCGCCCGCCGGAGCTGGGCCACGCGGCGCCACCGGTCCGACAGAGGAGACAATTTTTGGACTGCCGAGTTTGAGGGTGTTTCCGGTAGGGACCCCTTCGTCAGTCTGACATGGCGGGCGTGCCTGGACGCCCCCATATCCGCCTCATATTTGGGCTGGATATGGGGGGTGCCGGTTTGGCCGGGCGTTTGAGGCCCGTTTGAGGCATTCGTGTGGGTCGAAAAAACATGACTGGTCAATGACCGGGCGCCCGCCCGGGCATATGAGATGGGTTTGAGAGGTCCGGCTGTAGATGCTCTTAGGCATCTTCAACACGGACCCACAAGCCGCCCGCATCAGCCCAGACCGTGGGAGTCATCCAACGAGGCATGTATCGGTGCACAGGGTGGTCCATATATGATTTCTCCCGCATTCTGGAGACAAAAATGGGGGGCTTCCGGGAGTCCAGACACGCAAAACGTAGGAATCCAACACCCTCGGCCCATCCAAAACCCTTCTCGGGCCTCACGACTCTGTTCTCCCATTTTCTCCCCTTCCTTCTTTCTCTCTTGGCTTCGCCACCGCTCCACTATCCCGGCCATCACGCCAGACCCCTGCCGAAACTCTATATCTCCGTCATCTCAAGTGCTCCAGCAGGGCTCCACCCTAGTTCTCCTCCGTCTCTATTCAACCCTTCTCCTCCGACCGCCCCGCCAGGTACCATCCACTACTGCTATTCTCACCATGCCCGGCAAGTGTTCTATGAATCGTCAGAGTTAAAAACAGTTGTCCCTTCTTCGTTCTAGCAATGGATTCTGATTTGGAGAACATATACGAGCGTCCGATGACTCGTCAGGCGAGAAGGAGTACTCTGATGAGACATCGATGATGTAGGCAGTCCTTGAAGACGTGGAGCGTGCGGAGGAGCATGTTCTTAATTTCAGGGGCTCGATCAAGGGTCATCATTGAGTGCTCAACCGCAATAGGGTGCGCTACCATTTGACACTGATGGCCGACGACTTTGCCCCTGATGCATTATTCGCTGACCATTTCGCCGGTGTTTTTGGACGCGCAAGACTGTCTTCGGTCATTTGTACCATGGCGTCCGGTCCTATGATGACTACTTCATCCTGAAGAAGGACGTCGTGGGAACGATTGGCTTCTCTAGTTACCAGAAGTGCACGGCCGCACTCTGAATGCTTGCATATGGCATGACTGCTGATTCATGGGAAGAGTACCTACGGATGTCCAAGAGCATATGCGGAGATGCCATGGTCAGGTTTGCAACTACCATGATCGAGGTGTTCGGACCTTAGTGTTGGGGAACGTAGTAATTTCAAAAAAATTCCTACGCAAACGCAAGATCATGGTGATGCATAGAAACGAGAGGGGAGAGTGTTGTCTACGTACCCTCGTAGACTGGAAGCGGAAGCGTTAGCACAACGCGGTTGATGTAGTCGTACGTCTTCACGGCCCGACCGATCAAGCACCGAAACTATGGCACCTCCGAGTTCTAGCACACGTTCAGCTCGATGACGATCCCCGGACTCCGATCTAGCAAAGTGTCGGGGATGAGTTCCGTCAGCACGACGGCGTGGTGACGATCTTGATGTTCTACTGTCGCAAGGCTTTGCCTAAGCACCGCTACAATATTATCGAGGATTATGATGGAGGGGGGCACCGCACACGGCTAAGAGATCAATGATCAATTGTTGTGTCTATGGGGTGCCCCCTGCCTCCGTATATAAAGGAGTGGAGGAGGGGGCCGACCAAGGAGGATGGCGCGCCCAAGGGGGGGAGTCCAACTCCCACCGGGAGTAGGACTCCCCTTTTTCCTATTAGGAGTAGGAGAGGGAAGGAAGGGGAAGGAGGGAGGAAGGAAAGGGGGGCGGCAGCCCCCCTCCCAATTCGGATTGGGCTTGGGGGGGCGCGCCCCCTCCCTTGCTCCTTTCCCCTCCTTTCCACTAAGGCCCAATAAGGCCCATATACCTCCCGGGGGGTTCTGAAAACCTCCCGGTGATCCGGTATTGTCCCAATCTCACCCGGAACGTTTCCGGTGTCTAAATATAGTCGTCCAATATATTGATCTTTATGTCTCGACCATTTCGAGACTCCTCGTCAAGTTCGTGATCACATCTGGGACTCCAAAAAACCTTCGGCACATCAAAATATATAAACTCATAATGAAACTGTCATCGTAACGTTAAGCATGCGGACCCTACGGGTTCGAGAATAGTGTAGACATGACCGAGACACGTCTCCGGTCAATAACCAATAGCGGAACCTGGATGCTCATATTGGCTCCTACATATTCTACGAAGATCTTTATCGGTCAGACCGCATAACAACATACGTTGTTCCCTTTGTCATCGGTATGTTACTTGCCCGAGATTCGATCGTCGGTATCTCAATACCTAGTTCAATCTCGTTACCGGCAAGTCTCTTTACTCGTTCAGTAATACATCATCTTGCAACTAACTTATTAGTTGCATTTCTTGCCAGGCTTAAATGATCTGCATTACCGAGAGGGACCAGAGATACCTCTCCGACAATCGGAGCGACAAATCCTAATCTCGAAATACGCCAACCCAACATGTACCTTTGGAGACACCTGTAGAGCACCTTTATAATCACCCAGTTACGTTGTGACGTTTGGTAGCACACAAAGTGTTCCTCCGGTAAACGGGAGTTGCATAATCTCATAGTCATAGGAACATGTATAAGTCATGAAGAAAGCAATAGCAACATACTAAACGATCGGGTGCTAAGCTAATGGAATGGGTCATGTCAATCACATCATTCTCCTAATGATGTGATCCCGTTAATCAAATGACAACACATGTCTATGGTTAGGAAACATAACCATCTTCGATTAACGAGCTAGTCAAGTAGAGGCATATTAGTGACACTTTGTTTGTCTATGTATTCACACAAGTATTACGTTTCCGATTAATACAATTCTAGCATGAATAATAAACATTTATCATGATATAAGGAAATAAATAATAAATTTATTATTGCCTCTAGGGCATATTTCCTTCAGTCTCCCACTTGCACTAGAGTCAATAATCTAGATTACACAGTAATGATTCTAACACCCATGGAGCCTTGGTGCTGATCATGTTTTGCTCGTGGAAGAGACTTAGTCAATGGGTATGCTACATTCAGATCCGTATGTATCTTGCAAATCTCTATGTCTCCCACCTGGACTAGATCCCGGATGAATTGAAGCGTCTCTTGATGTGCTTGGTTCTCTTGTGAAATCTGGATTCCTTTGCCAAGGCAATTGCACCAGTATTGTCACAAAAGATTTTCATTGGACCCGGTGCACTAGGTATGACACCTAGATCGGATATGAACTCCTTCATCCAGACTCCTTCGTTTGCTGCTTCTGAAGCAGCTATGTACTCCGCTTCACATGTAGATCCCGCCACGATGCTTTGTTTAGAACTGCACCAACTGACAGCTCCACCGTTTAATGTAAATACGTATCCGGTTTGCGATTTAGAATCGTCCGGATCAGTGTCAAAGCTTGCATCAACGTAACCATTTACGATGAGATCTTTTTCACCTCAATATAAGAGAAACATATCCTTAGTCCTTTTCAGGTATTTCAGGATGTTCTTGACCGTTGTCCAGTGATCCACTCCTGGATTACTTTGGTACCTCCCTGCAAGACTTATAGCAAGGCACACATTAGGTCTGGTACACAACATTGCATACATGATAGAGCCTATGGCTGAAGCATAGGGAACATCTTTCATTTTCTCTCTATCTTCTGCAATGGTCGGGCATTGAGTCTTACTCAACTTCACACTTTGTAACACAAGCAAGAATCCTTTCTTTGCTTGATCCATTTTGAACTTCTTCAAAACTTTGTTAAGGTATGTGCTTTGTGAAAGTCCAATTAAGCGTCTTGATCTATCTCTATAGATCTTAATGCCCAATATGTAAGCAGCTTCACCGAGGTCTTTCATTGAAAAACTCTTATTCAAGTATCCCTT